TGACTGGGAGCGTGCCACTGCACTTCAGCCTGGGAGATTTCGACTCAAAAATAAAAAAATATAAATATGTAAATATAAATATATACCAGAAGTGGCAAAGGTCAGGAAAGACATTAATTTCAGTCTGTTGTTCTTTGACTCACTACTGAAAAGAATTTCAGAGAGGCCAGTATAGTTTTAAAACAGAATTTATGAGAGGAGAGAGAGAGACAAGTCAAAGAAAACGTGGTCGAGAAAGACCATGCTTTTGCTTTTTGCAAGGAGCTGGATATTGCAACACAATAATCATCATGTTAAAGAGGGTGGGCACAGCTATCTGCTTCTGAGAGATTACAATCTCTCCACCTCTGATGTGCGAGGGGGTGGCCTTTTTCAGGAACACCATGCACTTAGTCTTAGAAGACTTGATAGGCTGATTATTATGTTAATCATGAGCTAAAAGGTGGTCTGCACCATTTCCACACCTTGATGGGCTTTTTTCTTTGATGAGCTAAGGGGGCGGGGTCAACTGGCAAGTCCACATTCCAGCCCACAGGGTGGTCCAGTCTAATGTGTTAAGGAAAAATGTCTGAATGCCTCCTCTGTTCTAAAACTGCTTATAAGAAACTCATCTGGCCGGGTGCAGTTGCTCATGCCTATAATCCCAGTGCTTTGGGAGGCTGAGATGAGAGGACTTCCTGAACCCAAGGGTTTGAGACCAGTCTGAGCAACTTGGCAAGACCTGATCCCTACAATAGATAAAAAAATTAGTCGGTTGTGGTGGTGCACGCCTGTAGTCCCAGCTACTTGGAAGGCTGAGGTGGAAGGATCGCCTGAGCCCAGCAGGTTGAGCTGTAGTGGCTGTGAGGGTGCCAAAGCACTCTAGCCTGAGCAATAGCAAGACTCTGACTAAAAAAAAAAAAAAAAGATAAGCTTATTTCATATCATACAAAATCCTATTATATAAAAGAGAAAGAATACTGGAGGCATCAGATTTGGTCCAGCCCTGACACTTATTCAAAAAGGGAAAAAAGGTAAGTCACTCAGTCGTACTTATTTGCAAGAATAAAAAAGTATCCATTTCTCATGATTAGCATTTCCTCACAGTGTCTAGTCACTAATTATTTAGAATACTTATTTAAATGCACATGACTGGCTCCTCTCCTGATGATTCTGACTTGGGAGGTCTGGAATAAAAACCAGCAATCTATATATTTACAAGCACTACCAGGTGATTCTCATTATTAGCCAAGTTTGAAAAACTATAACTAAAGGCAGAGGTTCACAGAGCCCTCCATGTCTCAGTCTTTTTTCATAGTGCCTCAGGTGAAAAGAAATACTCAAAAGTTCCATATATGAGTTGGGTGTGGTGGCTCACGCCTATCATCCCAGCACTTTGGGAGGTGGAGGAGAAAGGATTGCCTGGGCCCAAGGGTTCGAGACCAACCTGGCCAACTTGGAGAGACCTCATCTCTACAAAAAATTACAAAATTTGCCAGGTATGGTGGTGGGCACCTGTACTCCCAGGCAGAAGGATCGCCTGAGTCTAGTAGGTGGAGGCTGCAGTAGCTGTGAGCATGCCACTGCACTCTGGTTTGGTTGACAGAGTGACTGACTCAAAAAAAAAAAAAAGTTCCATATGAAGCAGATAAATCCAAACAACTTAATAATTGTAGTTGCTGCCGGGTTCGGTGGCTCAGCTTGTAATCCCGTGCTTTGGGAGGCTGAGGTGAGTGGATTACCTGAGCCCGCCTGGGCAACTTGGTGAGACCTCATCTCTACAATAAAAAAAAAAAAAATTAGTCGGGCGTGGCAGCGTGCGCCTGTAGTTCCAGCTACTTGGGAGGCTGAGGCAGAAGGATCGCTGGAGCCCAGCAGGTCAAGGCTGCGGTGGCCAGGAGCGGCCACTGCACTCCAGTCTGGGTGACAGAGTGAGACTCCAACTCAACAAACAAACAAACCAACAAACAAATTGTAGTTGCTGACATGGGCCAACAGATGTCACTGTGTTGCCCTCAAAAAGTTAAACTATCTTAACAGATCCCCTAGGACTTCCCGGAGGCAGCCCAGGGTACTGCTGCACACAGTATAGGAGCTACAGCTTAGGAGGAATTCCTGGCATAGTATAAAAATAAAATATCTGAATAGGTCTTATAATTGTGCAACAAAGTAGACCTTGTGTTCCATAAATTTCACTTATATCATTTGCTTTTATATGACTTTTGTTTTTAAATCAGGCACACCAAATGTTTACAGGCAGAAAGCAAGTATTTTGAGCTTTGTGGGGTACAGATGGTCTCTATTGCATATTCTTCTCTTATCCATTCTCTTACAGCCTTTTAAACATGCAAAAGTCATTCTTCTCTTCTGAATTTGACTCACAGGTTGCAGTTTGCCAGCCATAGGGGTAGTTAAAAACCTAGGATATAACATCAAAGTGCAATCAGTGAGAGTGATTCTGCAAGATGGGCAGAACTCAGTGTTGGTTTTGTTTTTTTCCTTTTTAGCTCTAGGAAAGATGCAGGAATGCACCTTTGCAGGGAATACTGGAAAGGTCTACTTGATTTCAAAGCTATTGTAGATAGAGGAGCCCTTACAACCCTTTTCTTGCTCTGCATTCCTGACTTAAGGAGAATTTGCAAGTTACTCCATCTTAGTCAAATTCCTGCTGAATTTTCAAGAAAAGAAGACTTAGTTATTGCACTAAGCCCTTTCTCATTTACTTGGTGATTACTGTAAACGGCTGAGATCCCACAATTATAAACTAATTAGCCATCCTTTAGATTCAATAAATAACTTGATAGAACATGCTATTGAAGATTTACAGCTCTCAATTCCAAAATTAGTTGTTGCTGTCTTGAAACTATGCATTCTGGTTAGTCCTTAAGTTTTATGTCAGATATTTAAAAAATCCAGTATGACAAATTCCCACATTCCTATGCTAGTCATAAGAAAATGAATACCACTGGCAACAGTGATGTTGAGAAAAACCAGGATTTTTTTGAAGAAACTCCAATCCATAATTTTTTTTAAAGTACACTTTTTAAAAACGTGCACCACCTAGATTCTTCCAAATTATACCCTTACAGCCTCTACCAAAAGATGCTTGTGGACTGAAGTGTTCCCAGAACTTCTTCTCCCATATTGCCATGGTACCCTGAAATGCAATCACATTAAATTATTCACATAATAATCTGTTACTTTCTTTTTCTCTCATAAAGACCCCAATATTCTACACGAGTAGAGGCATTGTGTGCTTTGCTCACTTCCATCCCCAAGCACACACAATCGTGCCTGGTGAGTATGAGCTGTTCAGTAAATATTTGCGAATTTATGGATCAAGGACAAAACTGCGTTTTGCCAGAATAATCCCGCAAAAAGAATTATGCATTTAGTGACGAGAAGATGATCATTTCCAGGACCGCCACTAATTTTTCTTGGGACATTAGAAATAGCCAGCACACCTTTCGGAGTGTATTTCTTTTTTACTCATCAATAGAAGAAACGCAAATTAAGACTACAATGAGAACTAATTTAGGTTGGGCACAGCGCCTTACGCCTGGAATCCTAGCGCTTGGGGAAACCGAGGCAGAAGGATCACATGAAGCCAGCAGTTCGCGACCAGCCTGGGCAACATGGCAAGACTTCCCCCGTCTCTATTTAAAAAGAAAAGAAAAACTAAGCCTTAAAATGTATTTCCTCATCTGTAATACGGGGATCTTCACGTCTCGTGGGGAGAGTTTTCCATTTGCTTTACAAAATAGAGGCCAGGCGAGGCGCTCCGGCCCCTCGTCACACCCAGGAGCCACCCGGCCGGTGTCCTCCGGACTTCTGGCCTCCCCGGGGAGCCCCGAGAACAGGCGGTGCCGCGTGCACCCCGCCCGACGGCCGCGAGCGGCGGCGGCGGCGGCGAGGGACCCGGGGAGCAGCCGCTCCG